AAGCACAAAGCTACACAATAGGCTATATGTAATGTGCCTAACACGGGTATCGAAACTCGATTTCTAGCATTATACGTCCACAGATTTACCGCTGCGCCACATTGGGGTAAACCATTTGGCATAACAACAAAAGTAATTTAAACTAACTGTTTATGACATCTGTAGAGCTGGTCAATAAGTTTATTTTTAAATGTCATTTTACTTTTATAGCTATGTTTATTTGAATACTTTTGGATTATTAATTTTATGTATGTGACACTTTAAAATACTGATTATACGTTTTCACTGATACCTATACTATTTCTTATATTCAATATATATATATATATATTTAAATGAACTTAAATATTGATACAAACGGAAAGCAACATTCCTTTTTTCTATAAACAACGTTATTCAATGGCATAAATTGGTTAGCCGAAATCTTAAGTGATCTATAAACACCATAGACAATTAAATGTAAAGTTTGTTGGATATAAAAATGACATTAACTAAAAATGCATCACCAGTACTTCGTATCAATACTAATTTCACGTATTTTAACAATTCTTGAACAACAGAATGTATACAATATACAGTTGACTGTTGTAGTCAATGAAGGAAATCTGAAATTTCCCGTTTTGTCTGAATTCATTACACTTTATTTCGTACGTAAACATCATGTTTTTGGGTGTCTTTTTTTTTTTTTTAATGCACTGATTTACGCAGTTGCTTCAATTCGTTGTTTGCTCATCTTCTAGGCAGGTTTAAGTAGCACAAAGATGTGGAATTAATTCCGAAAATTAGTTTTGTAGGGCCAGGCAGCAGGTCGGGTAATTCAAGTCTCGAGAAAGCCGAATACTCTTTTCATTTTTAGTTTTGGTTGTGTTATAAAAGTGACAATCAATCCAGCATTCGCTTAAGAGGAGACGTGTAAGTGGCAGATGTTACTGGCTAATTGCATTGAAATGTGGGGCCTCCGATTCTGATTATTTATCCTACATGGCACATACTATAAATTTTTAATTAACTTTTTTTTCTGGCTGACTTGGCCTAGTGGTTAGGGCGCTCGACTCGCATTCTGTGGACAACGGGATCGAAACCCGTCACGTAATATGATCACTCTCTCAACCATGGGCACGTTATATAATGTGACGGTTATTCCCTCTATCTGTTGGGAAAGATAAGCCATAGAGTTGGCGTTGAGTTGTGTTGGTAAACTGTCTTCCCTTTAGTACACAACTAGTAGCCCTCGAGAAGTTTTGCGCGAAATGCAACACAAATAAACAAATTATTTTTATAGCTCCGCTGCCACAGACGCGCGCTCCGCACTTTGTAACCACGTGGATCCAAAAGAGCGACGGTAAAATCCCGCTGTTTGATCAGGCGACAGAAAGCTACGCGTAAATAATTTTTGTGAAACTTTGCGCAAAAAAATTAGGAATAAACAAATAAACTTATCATACGCCTATAGTGGTCTATAATGCTTTCATGTATACAGTTTGGCTGTGTAGAAGACATTGGTCATCGTCTAGATAAGTGAGGTATTAAAAAGCTTTAAGATGCTTTAAAACATCACTTATAATGTTTTGATAATGAACTAACTTGAATTTAAACATCTAGACTGAAAATATACATCTTTAAGTTACAGAAAATTGCAAAGCTGTTTTTAATTACACAAATTAATCGTTTTTCGTAGTATGCTTATAAAAGTTTAGAACAGTTTGTTTGTAGTTAGAATCAAAGCTACACATTGGGCTATCTGTGCTCTGCCCATCACGGGTATTGAAACTCGGTTTCTAGCGTTGTAAGTCCGCTGTGCCAAAGGGGGCAAAAGTATGGAAACACCACTTTAAACATACAACTCCTGTACTTATTCTAAATGTAAATAGTGACATAAAAGGTTCTTGTACCTCACCTCTTTCATCTTCTTTATCACATCCTGGCTCACTGTAACCTCGTAGGGAGTCTTAAGAAATAAAATTAAAAGACTGAAATTACTTCAATGTTCTTTGATATTTCATAAATTAAGCAATAATGTTTTCGCCTAATGTAACGTTAAAGTTATCACTATGAGTGTTGGTATCCACAAAACGAACAACTGATCCTGATTTAAAGTCTAGATATACCAAGCTGTTACAAAAATATTATAAACTCATTTCAATTTACTGCAAGATAATTTATTACTAGTTCTAAATCCCTGAGATCAGAGCTACTAGAAAGATATTAGAAAATTATTTCAATTTACTGCCAAGTGTTTAGATGCTAATCCAAATTCCTTGTTACAAATTCTTCCTTGTAACCATCGATACAGCACAGTTCATTATCAATCAATATAGAATGTTAACACTTGTATACTACCTTCACTAAAGTAATAACGTGAAGTTTGTGAATCATCTATAATATAGAATGATAACACTTGTATACTACCTTCACTAAAGTAATAACGTGAAGTTTGTGAATCATCTATAATATAGAACGATAGCACTGTATACTACCTTCACTAATATAATAACGTGAAGTTTGTGAATCATCTATAATATAGAATGATAACACTTGTATACTACCTTCACTAAAGTAATAACGTGAAGTTTGTGAATCATCTATAATTCGAAAAAAAAAATTAAAATCATTTTCTCAAATTAATAAAATATCATATTTCTTAGTATTCTGTTTTTGTCATTTTAATTTTACAAAATTACAAAGACATACATTAGCATTAATCCTAAATTGTACTATTGACTCAAAATGTAATGAAAATAATATTGAATTTATTTTCGAATAATAAGTAAATATTCGCTGAGCGATTTCTCATTAATGTGTTTTAACAAATTCAGGACTGTCTATCATATGTAGTTTTGTTTTTCCTTAGCTTAAGCCAGTTTAAAAAAATAAAGCTTGAATTATATAATTATCGTACTTAGTAATGTCAGGAGTAATTAATTTTCGATAGCTATTTAAGAACGACAATATTCGGAAGAGTGCGCTTTGTAGGCCATATTTTCATACTTATATTTTTTTTCATTTTTGAGAATACGTTTCCTTCTCTTCAACAGTGTTATTGCTCAGGGTTTCAATAAATAAATAAAAATATAAATAATAAAAATGGAATAAGAGGTAGAAACAGTGCATTAAATCATATCTTAACTTAAGAAAAAGCTGACATTTGCTTCCTCGTCTCTAACCATTAGGCTTAGATCCTATGTAGTCTCAAAGAAAGGATATGACAAAAGACAATGACAAGAGAACATCGTTAAATATGACCAGGAAGTGGTGAAACAGCAGGGGTTGAGCATAGTATCATAAAACCTGCTCTTCATCAATAAAGAAACGCTACTCTTAGGACTTTGTGAACAAATGGCAACTGTCGTGGTCTATTTCTTTAGTTTATGATGGTGGTGATTTCTTTTTTCCCCTTTTTATCTCAGAAAATTTTACATTACTCTTGAGCGCACACTATCTTACGAACTCTAAAAACTTAGAGTGCTGATTAAGAGAAGATGGAAGAAATATGGAAGGTGTAACCCACTTTTAAAGATGCTGACTGGCATAAGCTATTAATCCTATGTTCTAGACAAGAACGTTGTCATTAACTTCAGTTGCATTTGGAAGGAGATCAAAATTCATTTTGTCTAGTAAAATTACCATATTCAAACCTTAGATGTCCAAGTTGCGAAAGTAAAACAAATAAAATAATTCAAAACATGTTAGCCCCCAATCAGGTAACAAACTGAAATCATGAACACCTGAGTCTAAACTACACAATGGTATATCTAAGTTCTATCTATTGTGAGGAATCGAGTCCCAGATTTTGGACTTGCAAGTCCGAAAACTTACCACTTACCCACATGGTGACGATTAGGTAAGAATTGCAGATTTGAGTTATATTTGTTTCGTCAGTCTAGGTAAATCGATATTAAGGAATTTCGCCCAGTAAAGCTTTATGTGAATTTGGATGGAAGAAAAGCCCAAAATATAATATAGTTATTTCTCCATCTTAAAACTTCAATTAAGTTAATTTTAAATTAACTTTGTTTTTCCTTAATAAATCTGTCAGAAATTAAAGATGGTATGTTTATTGATGAATAAGTTTACTGACCCTAAATGCTTATTTATATCTACGTTACACATATATTTAAGTTGTTAAATTGTGACCACTATCCAAGTCATACATAAGTATCATTTACTAAACGTAAAACAATAAGAAAGTGACATACATAGATCAATTATTCTGACCTCTTTTGTACACGTTACCAAAAACTGTGATCCCTAACTGCTTTACACCTATAAATCAATTAAAACTGTGACCTTTTACTGCATTACAGATATTAAACTGTGACCTATAATGACGTCATAAACATAGATAAGCTTCTAAAGTGTATGATCTGTTTAGAGTACAAGTTGAATGACTTCTGGGCGTAAATTACCACTGTACCTTGACTGAATATAAAGTTGGCCAGATAGAGGTCGAGTTCTCGGACGGACACATTTATGTGGAACGGGTTGACACAAAGGCTAGGATGCAGGCACTCGGGTGACTTTTCTAGACGTTCCCCGTCTGTGCTTTCCAAGGGAATAGCTTTGAACAGGATCACCATAACCAAGTCCAACCGCCACACCTATTATTCAAATATGTTTGTTATAAGAACTCAAACGTTGATAATTTTTGTCTAACAAATTTGTAAACGTTACCATTCTATTATTCAAATGCCAACAGAACAAAATATTCATATATATGATTATATATATATATATATATATATAGACATCTCGTGCTGTACCGGACCGAAGGGCGATGGTACGGACAGCGAGGTCTAGAAAGACACTTACGTTTTAATTTAACAAAACTTTAAAGACTTATCGTTAGTAACT